TGTATTTATTTGCTATTTCTACTTCTTTGTCTGAGAAATGTCTGTCCTAAGTTCTTTGTAGATTCTGGATAGCCTTTGTCTGAGGAACAGCAGGTGAAAATTTTTTCCCACATTGTGGGTTGTCTCTTCACACTGCTTGTGGTTTCTCTTGCTGTGCAGAAGCTTTTTAATAAGATGGGATCCCAATTGTTGATTCTTTATGCTAGTTCATGGGCAACTGAGGTTTTTTCATAAAATCTTTTCCTACACCAATGTCTTCAAGAGTTCTACCTAACCTCTGTCCCAGCCGATTCAGCGTTTCTATTTTAATATTTAGATCTTTAATCCATTTCCATTTTAGTTTAGTGCATGGTGAGAGATATAAGTCTAGTTTTAATCATTGGCAAGTTGAAACCTAATTTTTCCAGCACCATTTATTTAAGAGGCTGTCTTTCCTCCAGTGAGGATATTTGTCTCCTTTGTTGAAGATGAGATAGCTGAGTGTGTCTGGAATTGTTTCTGCATCTTCTAATCTGTACCACTGGTCCTCAAGTTTGTTTCTTTTCCAGTACCATGCTGTTTTAATCACAGTAGCTTTGCAGTATAGTTTCAAGTTGGAGGTTGTGATCTGACTGAATATTTTTTGTGCCTGTTGGGTGCCAAGAATCAAACCTGCAGCATTGTAACATGAACTAAAATCTTGCTTTAAATATTTTACTTTGTACCTTTTAACTTATGAGTAGAATGACTTGAGGAAGGAAAATGGTAGAAATATCAAGGATTAAATAAGCAAATAACTCTTTATCAACACTGTGGGAAAGACAGTGTTGTTTATTACAGTAAAACAACTGATATTCTTGTTTCTGAAGAAAATGAAAATTAGTACTTAAAAATGATGTACAGCATTCTGCATGCCTGGTTTAAAAGGGAAGAAATAACATTTAATTTTGCTAAAGTCTCTTTTGTGTCCCTTCTGGGCTCTTACATCTTTTATTTTATTTTTTTGCAGTCATGACCTGGATTAGGACTTGGCTTGTATGGGGCAGGATTGTCCCTGGAACACCTGGTTCTTAAAGCCTGGAGAGAAGGGTTGCACAAGTTCTAAACATTCGGGTCCAAAGCCAAGGCCTGGGTGGCTGTGTTGCTTTTGCAGCTTAGTTTAAATTAGAAACTTTCTACTTTCTCAACAAAAAGTTTACAGAGATACAGATGTTTTAAAAGAATTTTATAGCATATAACTTCTGCAAGACAGGCATTAGCCTCAGGTTGCTTGATTCTGAATACATGGAATGCAACCAATTCAGATTATAGAGTCTGCACCTTTGTTTCTGTAATAAGGGGCAATCAATCTCACTGTTACGTTAAGGTTGAGTGTATGTAAGTTTACATTTTGTGTTGTTTATTTAAATAGCTCCTTCATTCTCCCTACATATGTCTTCATGTGATTTAGCTATTTTTAAAATTTAAGTATGAAAATCCTGGTTGTATTTGCTTGTAGAACAACATACAAATTATAGGCACTGCATGTTTTGATGTGGTAAAACTGAACCTATTCTCCCTGCCTCCCAAGCTTGAACTTAGAAGTTTAGTCCCATCAATTGTCCTGCAACACACTCCACCCCCTATTCACACAAGGTAGAGCATAAAAGCACCTCAAACAAACACTTCATTGGGCTTCAGCTTTATATAGTGTTACAGGACACCAGATTTGGGATTCCACTCAAAAGCTGAAAGAAAATTGTTGCAGAAAATGCTGACCTAAAAACATAACTTTTCATGGACCAGTGGTACCGACCATCAGCATGGGGTAATTTCCATGCCACGTGCTGCTTTGGGGCATTTGTGGCCTTACCTAATCCTTGCTCTTGTATCCAGATGTTTAACCTTCATTCAGTACCATTTTCTTTTCATGTTGGCTGCTGAAAAATTTGACATCGATCTTATGGACTTATCCCAAAACATTTTCTCTCTCATTTCTCATAACTTCAAAAGTTTTGGAGATTTCTATCTCCAAATTTTCTGAAAGTTTTGAAGTTATGAGAAGTGAATTTAATTTATAAAGCTCATACCAGAATATAAACAGAAAGGAAGAAAATGGCCTAAAGCCACGTTTTGTTTTGTTTTTTTTTGTACTAGGGATCGAACTCAGGACTTTGTATGTCAGGTGGTGGCATCACTGAGCTAAATCCCCGGCCCTAAAGCCATGGTTTTGAAAAGCAAAAGTAAAATGATGTGTAAACAAGAGTCAATATCTCCTAGTACTTAGGAAAAAGACATAAAATGAAACTCGGACACACTTTGTGTTCATAACATTGAGTTTGGGATGCATCCTGTGCTTTAAATAACAGATTTAGGAGTCAGACAGATGTGTGTTCTAGTTTCACTGTCACATTTTACCAGTGTGACCTTGCCCCAGTTACTTCTGCCTTAGGAGTCTGTTTCTTTATCTACAAAATAAGAAAAATACTACGTCTACTCTGGTTGTCATCAATATCAAACAGAGGAATGAATGCAAAGCTGTTAGCACAGGGCCTGGCACATGGTAATGGTTCAGTGAAGAATTTATGATTCCTTTTTATACACATTCATAAAAATTGTACAGATGGTCTAACTTAATTTTTGCTTGGGGCATTCTATTCTAGGACTTACTTTCTCTAAAATGAAAGGGCTAAAGCAAAAATAACCTCTTATGATTCCCCTTCCAGGTCACTTCTTGCCACTTAAAAAGGACTGAAAATTTGACTTACAGCTTCAAAAATGTGTGTGGTCTGACTTTTTGTAAAATACTAGAATAGAGTCCCAAATTGCACAATATCAAAAGGACATTGAAGTAGGTGAACAGTAGGGACGGAATTTTTCATGTCAAAGATCCCATTTTTGAATAGGTGAAATGCTAAGTACTAGGAACCATTCCTGAAATGGAGTGGAAGAGCCAAAAAAAGTGCTGCAAATAAAGACTGGGTAGCAATTAAGCAGGACACAGGTGGAAAAATGATTGGATAAGCTATCTGCTTAATGCCAATATTTATTTTCATCATTAATATCCAGTTTCATTTCATGAAATGAACATTTCAAGGTGACTGAAAGTGCTTTCACCTCAAACTGGAATTATATAATCATCGCTCTAGGCAATTCTAAGTAGCTGGAAACAAACTGAGCTCCTCATTCTGAAGAGGAAAACATTATACAGAATATGGAAAGTCCCTGCTAATTGAGTATTCTCTCAAATTTAAGGATAAAAGGAAATAATTACCTTTGTAGCTAGGGAGCAAGAATAACAGGGAATTTCGGCCACATCTAGAAATACTTACTACTCAAAAGTAAAACACAGTCCATATCCGGGATGGCAAGATTGCGTTACAGGTGTTCGATTGTGTCCTAGCTCTGCACTCTGAATTGTTATGACAGCATGTGGACAGAGGGTGAACAGGGAAATGATCAGTCTGAGTATATAATGTTATTGGAGCTAGATGTATTTGCCTACTTTCTCCTACAGTCCTACATCTCATTTCCACAGGGTCTGACCACCAGGAAGAACTTAACAATTCTGTAAGTGAAGGTTTATTTTTCCCTAAGGCACTTCACAGATCAGAAGGTCAGTGAACTATAGATGTTCCTTGTCCCCATTGCAGTTTATTATGCAATATTCTGTGCTCTTGTGTATGTGAGTCTTGATTCACAAATAACATCTACCGCAATTTTAGATGTTTATATTTTTGCCTTTTCAGATTTCAAGTTGGAGGTTTTTCAGTTCATAACATGGAAATGCTGCTGATTTTGTTCCTCATAATAATTTGTTCCCATGTTTCTGTGAACCAAGATTCTGGTAAGGAAAAAGTAAAAAGAATTCTTTCCCTTGATTTTCTCTGTATAAATAGATAATAAATGATTTTGACCTACTTAAAAATTAGGATTTTTATTTTGTTTTGTTTTGATTTTGATGGGAGTGAAAGTGGGAGTGTAGTAGACCTTTGTAGACCTTTTTTTTTTCTTCCAGTACTGGGGATGAAACCCAGAGCCTTTGCACTGAGCTATATCCCCAGCCCTTTTTAATTTTCTTTTCTTTTTTTTTGAGACAGTGTCTCACTACATTGTCCAATCTGGCTTGAACTTGTGATCCTCCTGCCTCAGCCTTGGAGATCGTTGGGATCACGAACTTGCACCATTGTACCCAGGGATCAATTAAAAAGATATTTTTAGGTTACCCTATGTTCCTTTGTGAATTCTGGGCCTTATTCCTTGTTAATAATAGAAGGATATCGAAGCTGTCATTTTGTCCTGTTTCACCCCATTAGGTTCCAGCCTTGAAACTTTGGAATGTCTCTTTTTCATTTGTGCTAAAAGGTTGTGTTGGTTAAATCTCTAGATTTTGCTTCAATTAAAGTGTTTGTTTGCTCATTGTGAGGAACATGCTTTGCCCTGGAAAGAAAGTCCCATGTATACTGGCTGTCGGCAGCTTATCAGTGGAGTTGAAGTGCACACCTTGACTCGCTCTTCATCACCTCTACCTCCTCCTACACTACAGGTTCTTGTGCTGGTCAGTTCATGTCCAGGACCACTTACCTTGACCTTTACTGCTTCCTTGAGGACTCTGACCTCAGAAGCAAGTTTGTGAAGAGATGAACAAAACTTTACCCTGAAAAAGTCATCCCTGCATGTTTCACTGGCTCTTAACTGTTTTAAAGAGAAGGATTTTTTCCTCTTAGTCATTTCATGATTCAGACGTGATCAAAGCCGGGATCCACCACCTGTACCAAACACATACACTTCTTTCCCACACAAGATACAGGGACATACTCCTGTCTGGACAGATCATGGATGGTCACAGGTTGAGCCACCCTGTTTGGGTGCACTGAGCAGCCAGCCTTCTCTTTAGTGAAAGTGTTAATTTGCCCTCACTGTTCCTTTCCCTGGGATGCTGCTGGCTGTATAATCACAAAATGAATCTGATTGGATGGAATTAGTTTTTTTTTAAGATTATTTTATCTACTATACGTTGGTCAGACCACTGTAAAGAAAATGAAATAGCACATAGGGGCTCACACCATTGCAGAAAAGTTTGAAGTTATTTTAATTTGATCAGAATTTATCTAGTATCTATTTTGGATAGTCGTAATCTCAGGATGAAGATGCACCCTAGGTATTTTCTAGTTGAATCAACTTATTGTAAAGTAGAGAAAACTGAGGCCTAAGTACATTGAATGGCTTGACAGAGCTCACAGAGTTACCAGAAAAAGCAGTTGGGGCTCTTATTTATACACGCTTGCACACACACACACACACACACACACACACACACACACTTTTCTTTCTTCCTTAGACAAGAAATGATGGATCTTATGCTAAGGTAATGAGAACTGAGTCCAGACAAGCGGGGCCACCAATAAATGACATTGGTGTTTGAATTCTGGAATTCTCTATTGTATAGATAACTAGAATTAAATCTAACATTGAATGTTCAGCAAAGTATTATGTTCTTATATAAAAATTATATTTTTAAATAGAAATTAAAACTACAATCCCTTTTCTAGTCTAAAATGTATCGGTGATATCACATTTTATATACAAACAAATTTACCAATTATAAGCTTAGTCATATGAGTCATCAAAAATATTATAAGTAACTTAAACTAAGTTAAGCCAATTTCTTTTTTTTGGTACTGGGAATCGAACTTGGGTCCTTGCGCTTGCGCAGCAGGTGGCGAAACCACTGAGCTAAATCCCCAGCCTGGTTAAGCCACTTTCATAATGTCATTCTTTTGTTCGTTTGGTGGTTTTTTTTTGGTACTGGGGATTGAACTCGGGTCCTTGTGCTTGTGAGGCAGGCGCCAGAGCCACTGAGCTAAATCCCTGGTCCCCGATAATATCATTTTTAAACTTCATCAATTCGATACTTTAGATACAAAAATAATATGAGCTTATCAGGTGCCCTGTTACATTGCTAAAATGACAATCACAATTAAATATTCTGATTTCACCATTAAAACCAATTTGGACTAGTCTCTCAATTAAAATTTTTATTTATTTATTTATTTATTTTGGTACTGGGGGTCAAACTTGAGACCTTGCTTTTACGAGGCAGGTGGCAGCACCACTGTAAAATTTTTATCTTACTGGTAAATTAGTCTCAAATTTTAAAGGTAAAAAAAAGTACAAACTGAGATTATCTGCTAACTGCATAAAAACTCATGAGTTTTTACTCCTCTAAATTTACCTATTCCTAATTAGTTAATTCTTTGTAAAAGTAATGCTTAATTTTCTGATTAATTCAAATGAGAAGTTATATAAAGGAATCAGCCTCCAAAACAAATGTTTCTTTTTTTTTTTCTTTCTTTCTTTTTGATAGAATGCGCAGCTTCTGGCTATTATGTTTAGTTCATTGGGAAGAAAATAAAAAATAAATTTCTCCCCATATAAAAATATGGAAGGAAACTTTTAAAGTTGTTACTTTGTTTGTATGGTTTTTGTTTTGTTTTGTTTTTTCTTTTTGTGGTTCCTTAGGCCCTGAGTATGCAGATGTGGTGTTTCTGGTGGACAGCTCGGATCACCTAGGAATCAAATCCTTTCCGTTGGTGAAAACGTTCATCAGCAAAATGATCAGCAGTCTTCCCATAGAGGCCAACAAGTACCGTGTGGCCCTGGCCCAATATAGTGCTGGGCTCCGCAGTGAGTTCCACCTCAACACCTTCAGGAACAGGAACCCCATGCTGGGCCACCTCAAGAAGAACTTCAGGTTCATCGGCGGGCCCCTGAAGATAGGAAATGCTCTTCGGGAGGCTCACAAGACCTATTTCTCTGCACCCACAAATGGAAGAGACAAGAAGCAGTTCCCCCCAGTTTTGGTGGTCCTGGCTTCAGCCGAGTCTGAGGATGATGTGGAAGAGGCTTCGAAGGCCCTGAGAAAAGACGGAGTGAAAATCATCTCAGTGGGGCTGCAGGAGGCTTCTGAGGAAAACCTGAAGGCCATGGCCACGTCTCAGTTTCATTTCAACCTTCGGATGATCAGAGACCTCAGCATGTTTTCCCAAAACATGACACAGATCATCAAGGATGTAGCCAAATACAGGGAAGGGACAGTCAATGACATCCATGTAGAAGGTGGGCTTAGGATGCATGTGTGTAGGCATGACGATGAAGTGATTTTGAAAATCAGCATGAGGGGAGGATTGAAATCCAATGAGCAGCCCTTCCTCCTAATGCCCTGCATTTTCAGAAAAATGTCCATATGTTCAAGTGTGTCCTATGATTGTGGCCATTTAAAATCTATGAAGTGAACTGGCCTTGGTTTTCCCTGTTTCACTTATCTGTGTTATGTGTCACTCACAGACTTCTTAAAATTTAGGTCTGCTTCTCCCTGGAACCCAGATCACCTCTGAGCTATCTCCCTGGTTTAGAGTTTCTGTATGGTTTCATTCTTGGCTCATTTGCAAAGATAAATTTGCTTCTAAAGAAATCTTTGAATCCTTACAGTACATCCCTAAATTACAGAATGTTAGAGCTGAAAAGTAACTTCCAGTTGTCCAAAGCCCCTAATTTGCAGAGATGAAGTTGTAGGTGTTCTTAGAAGTGACCGGACCTGGATGACGGCCAAGCTGCAATTTGCAGAGTGGGTTGTGGACTTCATAGCCAACCCACTACGTGGTTTGTCCTCTCGTCCTATTCTGTTAATAAGGGCCAAGAATTTAGGATAATCAGAGAGCTAATGTCCAAATAAGTAACACAGGGTATATTATTCCTGCTTAATCCAGTCTGAGATGACATTTATAATTACCTATTAATACTAGAGAAGGCTTTTCTCTATGAAGGCTTTTCTCCCATGAAAATATGAATACTATTACTAGCATCTTTCCCAAATAAAATGATGGAATGTACATTTCTATCTATTAATATTTCTTAGAAATATTTGGGTTATAACTTCTGATTACAATGGTGATGATGTTTAAATGATTTTAATATTTAATAGCTATTGTTCATTTAATTAATCTTATGGACCAGGCTCTACACTAAGTATATTATTCCATTTAAACCCCATAATTTCTCATGAGATAAATATTATATCTCCCTTTTATAGATGAGGACGTTGAAGCTGGGAGCTTAGCTAAGATCAAATGTTTGAACCTGCTTATGATCTCAGCTTCATAACCATTTTACATGCTTCCTCTTTCTTGAAGCACATAACCAAGCTCTTATGTATGATCTTCCTATCTTCTGATGCCCAGCAGTGGTGCCAAACCTCCAGCTAACACTACTTATTCACTCCTTGCCCACAGTTTGCCGAGGCCCCTCTGTGGCTGACCTCGTGTTCCTGTTGGATGTGTCATTCAATGGCAGCCAGGAGAACTTTGACTACCTTAAAGCATTCCTGGAAGAAAGTGTGTCTGCCCTTGATATAAAGGAAAGCTGCACGAGGGTTGGTCTTGTGGCCTACAGCAATGAGACCAAAGTGATCAGTTCCCTGAGCGCGGGCATCAACAAGTCAGAGGTGCTCCAGGAGATCCTGAACCTCTCTCCGCAGGCTGGGGAGGCCTACACTGGAGCTGCCATCAGGAAAGTCCGGAAGGAAGTCTTCAGCCCACACCAAGGTAGTCGGAAGAATCAGGGGGTGCCCCAGATTGCGGTGCTGGTGACCCACAGAGCTTCGGAAGACAATGTGACAAAGGCAGCTACCAACCTCCGGCGTCAAGGAGTGAGCATCTTCACCATAGGCATAGAGGAAGCCAGCAAAGCACAGTTGGAGAAGATCGCCTCCCACCCCGCCGAGCAGTATGTCTCCACACTGAGCTCCTTCTCTGAGCTGGCCGCCCACAACCAGACCTTTCTGAAGAAGCTTCGGAACCAGATCACACACACTGTCTCTGTCTTGGCAGAGCGGACTGAAACCCTCAAATCTGGTAAAGTATTACTGAGGGATGGGTTGCTCAGAAGTTTCCTCTTTTCTCTTGACTTCTGCACATGAGGTACAAAAAGGCGGGGTTTCTGGTTATGATGTAGATGGGCAGAAAGAGCCTAATTTTTACTTTAGCTCGATAATATGAAACCCAGTTTGGGGAGAATGAAATCCGTTGAAGTGTCCAGAGGGACTTCCCTTTTCCTTCCTTTCTCTTTCGTGTGGCTTAAATTGGATTAGTTACTCATACACACTCCAGAATACCATCATTTGTAATTTCTCTTTTCTCCCTTTTTTCTTTCTCTTCTTTATTTCTTTTTCTTTTTTTTTCCAGTACCTGGGATGGAACTCAGAGGATCGAACTCAGGACCTTGTGCTTTATGCCCCTGATCTTCCCTTTTCTTTCTCCTCCTCTGCCCTCCCCTCTGTTCTCCTCCATCCTCCTCTCCTCCCCTCCTCTTCTCTCCTTTCTTCTTATCTCCTCCTCCCTCCCTCCCTCCCTGTCTTTCACCACCCCCTTCCTTCTTTTGTTTTTTGTGTGATATTGGAAATTGAACCCAAGGCCTTTGTGCCAAGCTACATCCTCAACCCTTATTAATTTTTTATTTTGAGGTAAGAGACAGTGTCTCACTAAGTCACTAAGTTGCCCAGGCTGGGCTCAAACTTATGATTTTCCTGTCACAGTCTCCCAGAATACTGGAATTACAGGGATGAGCCACTATGCCTAGCTCCCTTTATTTTATACTTTTTGTAGTTTTCTCTCCTCTTGTTCAAACCTCACCCCCAAATTCCAATTTAGAGAATGGACAGGAAGTATGATTTGGATAGAAGACAAAATAGTTTGGTGTGAAATACCATCTGCTAGTGTAGGAGGAGAGAGCACTGCATTTTATATTCTTGATATATATATATATATATATATGTTATGCAAATATTTTATGCATGTGTATATACACATATATACATGTACATTCAGAAGTAATTTATTTCGTATTTATTGTAACAGTGTCACATAAGGTTGATAACCATATTCCTACATTAATTGACCAGGCATGGGGAGGAGTAAATATTTTGTTCTACATTTCAAGAACAAGTACTTAATGTGTCTATGATGTCCTGTCAAACACCATCTCCATTTTATAACATTCCATTTGACATTTTGCCAAGTAGTTTTTTATTAGTAGAAAAATGACATAAAAGGCAACTTCAAACTTTTCTAATCATTTGTAATATCCAGATTTATCCTCAGGGCAGAAAATTAGGGTGATAGTCTTACACTGTCAGAAATAATTCACGTGGCTCAATGAATGCTAAGATTCTCCCATTCTAAACTACAAAAGCAATTCTTTTAAGCATGGAAACTATTTCCCATTTTTCTGTATGATGAAGCTATTTGTTGTTCTTCTCATCTGCACCTCTTTCTCCTTCACCTTTGGCCAATGTGCTACATTCATGTGTTTGGTTCCTTTGTAGGTTGTGTGGACACCGAGGAAGCTGACATCTATTTGCTCATTGATGGCTCTGGGAGCACCCAGGCCACAGACTTCCATGAAATGAAGAGCTTCCTGTCAGAGGTGGTGGGGATGTTCAACATTGCCCCCCAAAAGGTTCGGGTTGGGGCCGTTCAATATGCAGACAGCTGGGACTTGGAATTTGAGATCAATAAATACTCCAACAAGCACGATTTGGGTAAGGCCATTGAGAACATCAGGCAGATGGGTGGGAACACAAACACAGGTGCAGCCCTGAACTTTACACTAGGGCTGCTGCAGAGAGCAAAGAAGCAGCGTGGAAACAGAGTGCCATGTCACCTTGTTGTCCTGACAAATGGAGCGTCCAAGGATAGCATCTTGGAGCCTGCGTACAGACTTCGAGAGGAGAACATTCATGTGTATGCTATTGGGGTCAAGGAGGCAAACCATACACAGCTGCGAGAAATTGCTGGCGAGGAAAAGAGAGTGTACTATGTGCGTAACTTTGACGCCTTGAAGGACATAAGAAACCAAGTTGTTCAAGAAATCTGTACTGAAGGAGGTAAAAGAAATGGGGTTTTGCCTTTCAAGTTCAGCCTGAAAATTTTCTTCCTGGGTACTCTCTTTGTTCTCCAGAACAAAAATGAGAGCCCAGTGTAGTGTGGTTCTGATTCATGTCTGATTAATAACAAAGATAGTTGGAGGAAGTCTCCCTAGTAAGTATTAACTAGCTTCCTCCCACAAATCCCTGCCAGAACATATGTGTGATCACATGTGTAATATGCTCTCATGATTCTAGATTTTAAGTACTTCTGATTCAATTAAATTCCATTAAAAAAACAGTGAAATCATTTAGAGAAACTTGAGAGGGCATTTCCCCTCTTAGGGAATATGTACTAACTTCTAGAGACATTTTTGGTATTATAACTGTTGAGTGCCTCTAGCATCTAACAGGAAGACATCAGGGATGTTGCTAAACATCCTCAGTATCCTCCATGTACAGACTACTCTCCACTATTAAAATAATCTGGCCCAAAATGTCAACAGTGCTGAAGTTGAGAAACTCTGAGTTATATATTTAAGGAAATTACTAAAAAAAAAATAGAATAGTCGTGAATGCCTAATTATTTTATTGCCTCCAAAGCTTTATATACCTACTAATAACCCTTACCAAGCATATAATTCAATGTAGAGTAATTTGTGATTTGAATTTTTCTGCTCATTTTTAATTTTGTACACGTGGTTGACTTGAATAAACATCCTTATTTCTCCCCTGCAGCCTGCAAAGACATGAAAGCTGACATCATGTTTCTGGTGGACAGTTCTGGCAGTATAGGACCTGAAAACTTTAGTAAAATGAAAATGTTTATGAAGAACTTGGTGAGCAAATCTCAGATTGGGGCAGATCGGGTGCAAATTGGTGTTGTCCAGTTCAGTGATGTCAACAAGGAAGAGTTTCCACTCAACAGATTCATGTCCCAAAGTGAGATTTCAAATGCAATAGACCAAATGGCTCACATTGGTGAGACCACCCTGACCGGCAGTGCCCTGACTTTTGTGTCTCAGTACTTCAGCCTCTCCAAGGGGGCCCGGCCCAATGTCAGAAAATTTCTCATCCTCATCACAGATGGTGAAGCTCAGGACATAGTGAAGGACCCAGCAGATGCGCTTCGGCAAGAAGGCATAATCGTCTACTCTGTAGGCGTATTTGGGTCCAATGTCACCCAACTTGAGGAGATCAGTGGAAGGCCAGAGATGGTTTTCTATGTTGAGAATTTTGACATTCTGCAGCATATTGAAGATGATCTTGTTTTTGGAATATGCAGTCCCCGTGAAGGTAGGCATGGGTATAGCCTCCAGTGACAATGTCCAAATACCAGATATGCTGGTATTTGTTTCTTTTTAATAATTAATTAATTAATTAATTAATTTTTGAGACAGGGTCTCACTTTGTAGTGCAAGCCAGCCTTGAACTCACTATGTAGCCCAGGCTGGCCTCGAACTCTCAGTGATTCGCTTGCCTCAGCCTTCCGAGTGCTGGGATAACAGGTGTGCGCCATCACACCCAGCTTGATATTTGTTTCTTGAACTAAGTAGAGTTGTAGTTGAACACTGCAAGCTTTTTGTTTAATTTAAATGTTTGCCTCAGTCCCTTTGATTTATTGAATTAAATAGACAATAAAGAACAATGTTGGTTCACCTAGATTTCTACACAAATAGTCCTAGAGCAATGAATCCTTCATTTGTGAGAAATGGTATGCTAAGTCTTAGGTCAGGTTCCCTGGAAGCAGAAGCTGAGTCAGTAGAGCTAGTTTATTGAGGAAATTCTTTCAGATGGGGAGAAAGGAAAGCAAGACAGGGCATGGGCTGGAGATAAGCAAAGAGGTCATTTTAGCTGGATTCTAGCTGTAGCCTGATCCCATAGGAAACTTTAGAGCATGAGTTACACTAGCATTGATCCTACCTGGAGATGAGGGCTCAACCTAGCATACTCTGGGCCCCTGAACTACATGTGGGCTGCAGGTGGTACAGATGCATTACTTCCTGGGCAAGGGAATTTCCCTTTGGCTTGGCATCCATTATATGTACATTTTTTGGTTTGTAATTTCTAAAACCAGTGCTTGGTCAAGTGAGATGTTAGTGAAAACACTTTGATATTTACTAAAACTTAGAAGAATGACTGTAGTTCATGAACTTGAGCAATGGAAACCTCAAAAAAAAGTAAATGGCATAGTCCCTACTTTCTTCCTGTGATACTGGAGGGCAATGGAAATGATAAAAAGAAGAAAAAGCTTTGGGCTAGGGATTTAGCTCAGTGGTAGAGTACCATCCTGGCACATATGAGTACCTGGATGCACTCCCTGGCACCAAAATCCAACAAAATAACAACAACAAAGTCAGCAAATATAAGGGGCTGATTTATACTATGACCCTGGGGGTTAATGATAGAGCCATTCTGAAAAGTCTCTATGAAGGCAATGGATCTTACTGGAGTTTTAAGGGAGAAGAAGAATAGTGTTTTCTTATTCAAATAATAAGACTGTTCAACTCCCACAGTAGAGTTTGATGATCATAGTCTGTTTTGTAGAAAGAGGAATATACCTGGTTTTTATTCCCTGGTAACTCCACTATAACAAATAGGAACTCTGAAGGGTTTCAACATTGAGCAATCTTCTCAGGAATCCATACAAGCTTTACAGCCACCTGAAGGCCAAAGGGACCTAGTTCCTTCTTTAGTAGAGCCAGCCTTTCCTAGGAATTGGGTTTACATCTCTGCACACATGGCCTTCAGTCAGTGGTTAAGTACACTGGCTCTTGAGTTTTCAACAGAACTACATGAGGCCCCAACTGGCTCACGAAAGAAAGACATGTGGAAAGCCTTGGGGTGGGGGGTGCAAAAGAAAAGAGTACATTATCACAGTTCCATTTCTGAAGAATAGATGAGTTAACCTTTGGATCAGACCTTTCTAAGGTCTGTAGATAGAATGTGCTACCTAATGACTAACCACCACATTTGTCCAGGATGAATGAGTTGGTGCCCAGGATGCAGAGCAGATGAATTCCTTTAGATAGAACATGCTGCACATGAACCAAGTCTTTCCTGCTTTACTTATCTATGACACTGACCTCAGGTTTAAAAAGTTAGTAGGAGTGTTGTACTAAGATAACTTAGGAAGAAAGTGGGCCTAAAAATAGACATTTCAAAGAAGTGAAAAAGAGGAAAAAAGTAACCTTACAAACTCAGCCATTGTAGAATAGTGAAAAAAAAATAGGATTGCCAAATTCATTTTAACTTGGTCATTTCCCCCAGGGTCTTTCTTATGAATAAAATTTCAAGATCCCTGTGATTTAAAAAATAAAAAGACAAATTTACATAAATGAAAGCAGATGTTGAAGCAACCACTTATATGAGGACATCTACACAGAATTGTAGTTTTCGTTCCAGTCCAAAGGTTTATGAAATTCTGTTTCTGATAATCTGTGATTCTCACTCCATCCCCTCCTGCCCTTGCAGTAGGTGTCACATCCCCCATCTTGTTCTAAAAGTTCACCTGAGTATCACTGTACTGGTGGCAGAAATGTACATGCATCTCTGTTATCCAGGGAACTGACATTCTTATGGGTACTGTGACCCCTCAGAGAGAAAACAGCAGAAATTTTTTTAAAGTCGGGATCACCCATGCTCTCCAGAGCTAATCTCATATGGTTTTCCTTTTTCTTGCTCTCCTAGAATGCAAGCGAATTGAAGTTTTGGATGTTGTGTTTGTAATTGATAGCTCTGGCAGCATTGACTATGATGAATATAATATCATGAAGGACTTCATGATCGGTTTAGTGAAGAAAGCTGATGTGGGCAAGAATCAAGTCCGGTTTGGTGCTTTGAAATATGCTGATGATCCAGAGGTGCTATTTTATCTGAATGACCTTGGTACAAAACTGGAGGTGATTTCAGTGCTCCAGGGTGACCAGCCCATGGGAGGCAACACTTACACTGCAGAGGCTTTGGCCTTTGCAGACCATATGTTTACAGAACCCCAGGGAAGCCGCCTGCACAGGGGAGTCCCCCAAGTCCTCATTGTGATCACTGATGGGGAATCCCACGATGCTGAAAAACTCAATGTCACTGCCCAGGCCTTGCGGGACAAAGGCATTCTTGTCCTGGCTGTGGGGATTGCTGGTGCCAATCTAGTGGAGCTGTTAGCCATGGCAGGGTCCAGTGACAAGTACTACTTTGTGGAGACTTTTGGAGGCCTGAAGGGGATATTTTCAGATGTGTCTGCCAGTGTTTGTAACTCTTCAAAAGTAGGTAAGTTTTATCAATTAAGTTTTCCTAATTATTAGCATAAAACCAAATGAGGGAGACACTTTCAGGAATAAGTTTTCTGGAGTGGAGAGAAACTGAAATTATTCCATGGCACTCCCCATGTTAAAGGATCTCAGGGCTAGAAAGACCTCAGGAATATTTCCTTCAGCCTCTTTCCCAAAGAGAATTACCTTTTACAGCATTTCTTACTCACTTCTTCCTAAACTCTTCTAATTCGCTAGTTTTGGACAGGATTTATGTATCAGGGCACAGATTTGCTTATCTGTTCTTGTACCCACTAGTTCCTTTTCCTTCTCTTTACAACAAGAACTCAAAATCTGTCTCCTCCTAAGAATCAGTGATGGTTGCCAGAAGTCTTTTTTTTTCCTTCGGGCCTAGAAATCCCCAGTTTCTTTACCATTTTCTGTCCTGGTTCATTGAAAATGTGGAGCCCCATATGAAGCACTTCAGTCCAGCCAGCTTCAGATGTCTCCAGGACAAAGTACAGTGGGGTTTCCTTTGTCTGGAATTCTGTGCCTCTATTCCAGTAGCTGGAGGTTGCATGGCTGCATGTATGGAGGATACATTCATTCATCATTCATTCAGCTACCATTTTACACTTTTGGTTTAGCAGGAGATTTTGTGCTATTAATTTTCCTTAGTCTTTTCCCTAAGACATGTTTTACTAAAATATACTATTTTTATTAGATGAATTACTAATAATCCATAATTTCAGCATCTTGTTTTTTAAAAATCATTTAACATTTCTAGCTTTCATGTTGCTTGTCTCCTTAGAATGCAGCTACCATCTTTTTCTTTGATATAACTAACAAAATCTTTCTGAGGTTTACCTAAAAGGGGACAAATCTTTCATCTCCTTGTGTCAAATGACTAAAATTTGATCCATCTTTCTGAAGTTCACTGTAAAAGATAATATTGCATTTTTGTACTGAAGTTCTCATTTGAGCAGAAAAACAAGACTTTATTCCCTTTATTTAACTCTGAATTTGAAAAGAAATTTAATGAGTTAACCAGTTCCTAAAGGATCTACATTTCTTCTCTTCTTTTACTGCACGATCTCTAGAGTATGGGAATCTCAGACACTTTTAATCTTTTCTGAGGCTGCAGTGAGAATTAACTAAGGTCAGTGGTGGGATCATTGGGAAGTTCAAGGAAATTATAATGCTTACCAGAAAGCTAAGGGACATGCACAAGTATGTGCCAAGTGTGCTTCATTCATTGGCTGTGCTCTCACATATTCATATTGTTTTGTATGTGCTTTGTTAATACAAAAGAAATGTTCCTGGTTATACTGCGCTGTTTGCTCAAAAATAGTTCTATCAAGTAAGTATTTTTTTGCTTGTATAGACCAGAAAGGAGCTGATAGAAGAGGAAAATAAACTAGATATAGATCAGAAAGTTTTCTTTCAAATACCCACCTCAATATGCCCTAATACAGAAAAAATATTGTTAGCTCAACTGGCCAGAGACCAAGTCAATAATATAAGGCATCTGTTTATATTTGAGTCCCAAAACTGATATGTGGGTTGTTTTTTCACTATGCTACTACTGTCCCTGGGCTTTCTGGAAGTGCTAAGGCTAGATTACAGATGAGAAAAAATTTTCTGTAGCACCATTCCAAGTTCTCTGGGAACTCAGAAAAGCAAATGGCGTAAGACCAAATGGACAAGCCAAGAGCAATAGGAAAGGATGTGTGAGTGGTTCAGTCTCATGCTGCCTTGATGAACTGGTCATTTTTTCCCTCCCAAATTAATGTGGTTACAGAGTCACATAAAATAAGGCATAACTTTTGGAAATATCATTTTTATATAGCTATAAACAGTTAATTTGCTCTTATGGTTTAAAGAAAGAATAGCAGGGAAATAGAATTTTTGCAAAAGGGAATGGAACCAAGAAATGGAGGGAGGGAAGATGGAGGGCAGGAGAGAGGGAGGAGACAACAAAAGAATTAAAATATGTTGTGTACATGTACCAACCTCACACAGAGAATGTTATCATATGTACAACAAACACATGCTAATTTTAAAAAAAAGAAAAAATAACAATCTGTTTTTTGGTGGTGGTTCTTCCCTTTCCTCTTCTTTGTAGATTGTGATATTGAAAAAGTAGATCTTGTTTTCCTCATGGATGGTTCAAATAGCATTCATCCAAGTGACTTCAAGAAGATGAAAGAATTTTTGGTGTCTGTTGTCCAAGACTTTGATGTCAGTCTCAAGAGAGTACACATAGGAGCAGCCCAGTTCAGTGATAGCTACCGGCCAGAGTTTCACCTGGGAACTTTCATAGGGGAGAAGGAGATATCCTTTCAGATTGAAAACATCCAGCAGATCTTTGGATATACGCACATCGGTGCTGCACTTCAGAAGGTGAGCCATTACTTCCGGCCAGACATGGGCAGCAGGATAAACACAGGTACCCCCCAGGTGCTGTTGGTCCTCACAGATGGCCAGTCCCAAGATGAGGTGGCTCAGGCGGCTGAAGAGCTGAGACACAAAGGTGTGAACATCTACTCGGTGGGCATCGGGGATGTGGATGATCAGCAGCTCATCCAGATCACTGGGACTGCAGATAAAAAACTCACGGTTCATAACTTCGACGAATTGAAAAAGGTCAAAAAAAGGATTGTTCGTCACATCTGTACCTCGGGGGGTGAGAGCAGTAAGTATTGATAAGTTCTTCATTTTTCTTCTTTTTTACTCCCACACTAACATTGTCCTCAAGCTCTATCTACATCTTCCAGGGATGCAAGGAGATTTAGATTTGCACCTCTGGATAGCACATTGAACTTTTTCCACGGTTATCAAAGAGTTTTTATGGCTTGTAGATTGAGAAACAGGGTGTTTGAGTTCCTATGTCTTTTTTTTTCCCTCCCTTCCTCCCAGGGGAGGATGTCAGCTCTGCGAGTGGGGAGACCTGAGCTTCAGAGGTGTGAGGAAAAAGCCATTGTTTACAGTGTGACTGGTTCCAGAGGTTGGAAAACTCTCCAAGAAAGAAACACTTGATGGATTTTGGTTGCCTGGCCATAGGGCTTACAAGGCTGCCAAAAACTATAAATGGAGAGAACATCTCAGGAGGTTTATATCTTCATTATGAAATTTTACCACAGAAGTTAGTAAATATCTTCTTAAATATGAGCACATTTTGACATTTTTCCAATAGAAGGAAAAAAAAGAATCTTGAAGAAGTAACTACTTTTTTAAAAAGATTAGATGGGCACTCTATAGGTTGGCTCTGTTTTTAAGTGAATTGACGTGGTAAACATTGACCCCAGGTTTCCACTAAGGAAAGGAATGCCACGAGTTGTTGAGAGGCAGCCAGAGATGTCCTGGCCTAAAATTCAGCTCTGTGGCTTTTATCTTGGAAAAGTTGCTTAACATCTCTAATTTTCTCATCTATGGACTGTGAAAGAGAGCAGCACCTAGTTCGAAAGATCACTGTGAGGATGAAATGAGAAACATGTATATTTAAACTTTACTGTTTTTAAAGCATGGTGCCTGGGACATAATTACAAGGTCACTTTATTTTTGTCTACCATTGACCTACTGAATTTATTCCCGGGGACTAGTCCTTCCCTTGGCCCTTGTCACTTCCAAGAAAGAAATGAACCTCCTCTTGATGACTAATACATCTGTCCTAGTGTAACTACTAGAACTCTAAACTTCATGCAAGGCTCTCCCATTTTTCCAGCCTGCCATGGACAGCCCACCTGCCTAGAAAAAAGTACCCACCAGGGTTGACTTCCTTGTTCTTTACCTTTCAATGTTCCACCTTCTCCCTGGCTCAGCACCTGCCTTGCTGACCCTGGCTTCTGACCACTGCAGCATGAGCTGGGGAAGGGAGATGGTCTGGAGAGGTCTAGAGGCCCTTACTTGATGGTACCTGTCAGGAATTGGTTTTCTCTAATGGTAACTTGTGTTCCAAACTGGGTCTGTTCATGGGTCCTTCAAAGGATTCTGTGTCCTGCTCTACATCCTCCCATCCCCACCACAGTCCACCTCTTAGGGAATCTCCCAAGTGGGGCTCATGTGAGGAGGGGTAAGTATGTCTGAATTTAGATGGTCCCTTATCCCTTTCTTAGCCTCTGGGCATCTGATAATGCCTCTAGTTTATTCTGCTGAGGGCTCTGGGGTCCCCCCCATCTCCACCCCATAATCTCCTTGGATGGGAGAACAAAGAAGCCCACAATAGCTCTTTCTTACGCTCAACCACATCAGGGGAAAACTAGCATGTCAGCCACCTTGCCCCAGTAAACACTGGGAATTACAGACTTCAAAAATTTTTGTGTCTCCTTTGCAAAGACAGCAACAAGCCATCCTGTGTCTCATTCCTTAAACTCACCAGGCTTATAAGTTAGCACTTAAAGCATCCAGCTCTTGATTTAAAAAGGAAATAGTCTTCTCTCCTTGTGAGTGTGTGCATCTGTGTTTGTGTCTGTGTTTCTGTGTCTGCCCGTCTGTCCACACACAGAGATGGTGGGAGGGCTCACAGCTCAACAACAGCTCTCTCTAGAAATGCTCTTCTAATGTCCAATCTCACACCTTTGCAAGACCTAGTGTGCAGAACATGGAAGTTAAAGGTTAGGAGACCTGTAGTTGATTAGGGATATCTTCATATATCCTGCTCATACTTTGGATTATTTTAGCCAAATTTTTCCATTAATTTCCTATCAAATACCCATTTCCAATTATTAAGCAGAAAATTATCTTAGAATAATCTAGTGTCTACTTGAGCACATGAAGGAAAAATTAGAAAGTAAAAACAAGTATAAATTCTAAATAGTAACTGAGTTATATTTAAAGAAGATAGTTATGAATGCCAAAATAAGTGTTCTGTATTAAGAAGGATTTGAAGTCATTACTCCAGCAAGCAAAGCTGCCAGGCTTTTGTAGCCAAGCTGTGAATGAAGACTGATGGGCTGGAGCGCTGATAAGTTTCAAAGGTGAATGCAAATAATCAGGGGGTGCCCATTCTTTTGCAGTTATAAGTCCCCAAATCAAGGAAGTGAGACAGTAGCCTGTGGTTCAAATCAAACTACACTTAGAGCTTAGACATTTGTTCTGCTGCTGCTTGTTTTGTTTGTTTGTTTGTTTGTTTTGGCTGCAGCTCAAACACAGGGCCTTTTGCCTTTTAAGCAAGAGCTCTACCACTGACCTGCACACCTAGCCCCATTGGCTCTGCTTCTTAATAAAATATGCCTGACTTTTAAGAAGTCACTATCTTTTCTAAGTAGTAGTTTTCTCATTCATAAAGCTAAATCACCTCTAAGAGGGTCTCTAGTTGCACACTGTGATTCAAAATGTGAAGGGATGGTCAGCTGCATGGAACTATGAAGGAAGTGACTGACAATGCTTTTTGAGCATCTATGAAGGGGCAAGCCTGGTTCTAGACGCACTTTAAATGCAGTATCTCATGTCCTTTTCCCAATATCCTATGCACTTTATGTTTTTATTTTCATTTATAAATGTGGAGACTGGGTCTCTAAAGGATATTTAGAGTCTGATCCAGATCATACTAGAAGTAACAGACTAAGCATATTTTGAAACTGAGGTTTGTCTGGTTAATCCTTCGATATACATTTTTTATTTTTCTTTTCTTGATGTTAAATTAAACTGTCTGTTTTCTGGATATAGTTGTTGTCTTAGTTATCTAATGCTACCATTACCAAGAACTAATGTCTAAATGTTATTTCACCAGTTAATAACTGGGGCTTATTAAGACATTCTGGGTTTATGTCCTTAAAATTGTTCCCACAAGCTACTATTCCCTAAGGAAACTTCTTGCTGCTAAGTAATTACTTCCCACAGCATAGTCTAGTCGCAGAACTAGGAACCTGCATAACTTATCATTCCTGGCCAGTAGGAAGTGATAGAATCAGGTGGTTCAGCATATGGATGCCACAACAAGCCTGATTCTGAATCCCTGAATGAGACCATGTGACCCAGTTATAATTGTGAGACCTAGGGAAAACTCTTAAGTCACAGCTTCCTATTCTGATAAATGAATGTTTTAAGAATTTCTTCTTATTTCATGTTTTACAATTACAAGTGAGTTAATTCATGGGGGTTTGATGAGTGCAGCTTTGTCATAACATGTTGCAAAGGGTGACTCAAAATGATCCTATAAAAGCAAATATGTGGAGTAATAGGGTAACTTCATAGGAAGATCGTTTTCCAAAATTCCTTAGTTTCAGAACTTAAATATTTTAGAACATGTCAGAGCTATATTCAAATTTAATGTTTCAACATACACCAAAATCTACTAAGCAACTCAACTGCAGTCTGTGTTCTTACTTTTACCCAAATCTATTTTCCTGATTTTCCTTTGAGCTTGGCTAGTCTATCCACCTAAAAGAGACTTGGAGCAATGTGGAGCATATGTAAGTTTTGGCTTTTTGGTATGGGACCATGATTGATTAGCAAAAGAACCAGGAGTAGCTCTCATCTTTTGGACCCATAAATGTGGATAGATGGATTGAAAAGAATTACACAGAAGGACAGTCTGAATAGAATGAGGCAAGAGACAACCTCAGAATTGGAATCAAAGCATGTGAGCAATATAAGGAGAAAAATAGAATAATCATTTCCAACTTCTCTTCCCAAAGAGCTCTTTATGTTCCTGTCTTAACCGAATTCTCACTTAGCAGAGCTTAAAGCAAAGTTTGCATGTGAATATTTTATTGAGAGTGCAATCAAGTAAAGCCAGCGTGAGTGGGAGACAAGTGATACAGAAAGGAGGGAATGTGAGTGGTGATGTGCTGGTGAGCCAGCCGTAGCTTCTTAAGAGAGCACATCTGGTACAGCACTCCTGCAAGACAGCACCAGAGGGCCCATAGTACCGCCACATAGACCTGTCCAGAAGGAGGAGAGAAGATGCATCTGCCAGTGCCCGTCCTATCTGCTGCCTCTCCATAGTCAGTATGTACCCCATGGAGAGTTAACTCACCTATACTACTAGATTGTATTATCCAGTGCCTTTGGGAAACTGCTGTGGAAGCCAGACACAGGACCTATAGTGTACTGCATCTGGGGCTGGGCGTGGTAAAGGAGCCAGGGCCTCTATGAACTCACACATGCTGTACATGGGCACTGGAGCCCTGGAGCCCACCTACAGGGAGATCTCTAGAGTCCTGTCAAAGCCTGGCCCTAACCCCTGTGGTGTTAGAAGACCAAGCAATAGTGGCAGCTGTGGCTCTCCAAGTTCTGGGCAGAGAGAAGAAGCAAACATAGGAATTCTATCAACTGGTTGTCTTCTAGTAACTAGCTATATCTTCTAGACAATACTTTCTCCTTTTTCTTCTAAGACACACCTTATTTCAAAGGCCCCATACAAATCTCTCTCCTATCCATGCTAAGAATCTCAGTTGATCCTCTAAATATGTTTCTTCATACTAACAATCTGCCATCATCAATTCCATTTAACGACTTTTTTTAAAAAGTCAGATAATTAGAATCAGCTTTTGGGTCTGGCTGTGAAACAAGGGATTGTAACTGCCTAGTCCAATCTACTCTTTTTTGTTCTTTTATATTTTTGTTTTGAGATACATAATCCCCTTATTTTTATAGTCAAGAAAATGAATGCTCCAAGAGGGTAAGAGTTTTGGCCCAAGTTGCTTAGCAGTAACAGAGTTGTGATCAGCACATAACTGAAACTAATATTTCTATTTTCCTAAATTCTTGCCCCAACTCCAGGCTTCCACATTGCTGTGTTGGGGTTTACTTCGACTTCTCTCTTTTTCTTTTCCATTGTAGGCTGTTCTGTGGATCACCTTCTTAATTTTCTTTTACTGCTCCCTTTCTATTACCATTCCTGTTATCCTAGTTTAATTCTTCATATTTCTATTTGGAAATTAATTTTAACCTTAGTAGCTCACCTCCCAAACTCTTCCTACCTCTAGTTAATTTGAATCACCATTGGTAGATTCACTCTCATGCACCAGCCCTGCCTTGGAGGACTCCAGTTTCTGAATCTTGTAAGAGCTCCCAAAAGCAGGAACCTCTGCAGGGTTTTCAAGGAAATACACTGCATTGTCTCTAGTTGTAGTCAGATACATGGCTGCTCACCCTAGATTTTCCTGCCATATTCTCTTCTTCAATCACATTATTATGGAACCATTTGTCTATTTTAATTAAACGCTAAAACTCAGGTAAATTTAAGTACTTTCAGCAATGTACACAAAAAGTTAGGATAATTTTTCTAGAGAATTATTCCCAAAGTCACTCAATGTCTTTTGACATCTCTCCTAATGTTTGTTTTTTCACAAGAGTGTCTTTTCCTTAAAAGTAGTAGCATGGCTTGGTTAATGAATAGTTTTTGATTCAGAGGTTAAGACCATGTTTACCCAAGAGTTAAACTTTCCATCTCAAGACAGGACATGTAAGTAATTCAAAGGAATTTCAGAAAGGACCTATTCTGGTGCTATCTTCTAACTAGTTTTTCTCTTCATCTCGCTTTCTGAATATCCAAGAAGAGAATTTCCAATAAAGTAAAATAAAGTAAACAGACCAGCCTCCTTGACTTTTTGAGAACATATTGATTTTTACCTTAAATCTCATGATGAAAATTGATTATCAAATATCAGGCCTATATTTTCAATTACCTGGCTCTTTTGTCATTAAAAATGAATCTAGACCAAGGACTTAGCTCAGTGGTTCTGCCACCTGCCTCACAAGCAAAAGGCCCCGAGTTCAATCCCCAGTACCCTAAAAAAACCAGAATCTAGTTATTGGCCCTTGTTTTAAGAAATGAAGTTGGCATTTTGGTTTCAAAGAACTGCAGATACCTAGCTGACCAGCTTATCTGGGAATTAACATAAGCAGGCATTTGCTCATAAAAAAATCCCTGAAAAACTGCTAATCCAAGCAAAGCAGACTAAATATCCCTCCTGCTTATTTTACCAAGAAAATATTAACTTTTCTTGAAAAACAGTTGGTGTGTTTAGCTAACTTAAAATTTCTTGAAACTATCCTCTAATCAACTGCCTTTAGAAAACTCAAATACCATGCCCATATCATTTCTCCAATGTTTAAATTTCCCTGGAATGCCAAGCATGGTGGCACATGCCTGTAATCCCAGCTCTTTGGGAGGCTGAGCCAGGAGAATTGCAAGTTCGAGCCCAGCCTGGGCAATTGAGCAATTTAACAAGACCCTGTTGCAAAATTTAAAAAACAACAACAACAACATAGGGCTAGTGATATAGCTTGGGTTCAATCTCTGGTACTGGAAAAAAAAATTCAAAACAAGGGACATGGCATGAGAGTCAAATAAAGATATTTGTTGATTTACTAAAATGTGCTTCTCCCTTGAATCCTAGATTGCTTTGTGGATGTTGTGGTTGGATTTGATATCTCAACTCAGCTGAAAGGGCAGGCTTTGCTCACAGGTCAGCCGTGGATGGAAACTTACCTTCAAGACATCTTACGGGCCATCAGCTCCCTCAATGGTGTGAGCTGTGAGGTGGGAACTGAGACTCAGGTTAGTGTGGCTTTTCAAGTGACAAATGCCATGGAAAAATATTCTCCCAAGTTCGAGATCTACAGTGAAAACATTCTGAACAGCTTAAAGGATGTGACTGTTAAAGGTGCTTCTCTTCTCAATGTGAACCTCCTGAGCTCCCTGTGGGATGCCTTTCAGAACAAGTCAGCTACTCGAGGAAAGGTGACATGATTTCATTCTGTTTGTTGGTCTGTAGTTGCAACAAATTTCTTTTTACTCATCTTTCTTCTCTTTTGCAAACATCCCTAGGTGGCCCTTTTATTTTCAGATGGATTGGATGATGATATTGAAAAACTTGAACAAAAATCTGATGAACTTAGAAAAGAAGGTACTGAAAGTGGAGGAGGAGTGGGAAAGGAGTTGATTAATTTATTTATTAAAATTATAATCTCAGCACTCAACTCAAGCTCTAAAGCTTCCAGACATTCAAACAACCATAAACTGGAAATTGTTTCTATTCTGTGTGCTGAGGAAATGAAGGCTTGGAACATTCTACCATCTGCTTTCTCCCCATGCTATATGTGTATGAAACTACTGAATACAAAGGCCTATTCTTGTCTTGTATGATGGTATTTCTTCTTCCTAACTTTTCTGAAGAATCTCTTTTCTCCCTTGCTCCACATTATCTAATGTTGCTACTTCTTTAGTGAAGTGAATAGACTATTTCTCCTTGACCAAGGAATGCAAGAATTGGATTATATTCTAGCACTCTGAAAATTTCCAAAGTTGCAAGCATTGCTGGACAAATTGACCCATGTGTTGGGGGCTTTCTAATCAGTTACTTCCTTCTGGCCACAGAAGGGCCAACCATGGTGTTTATGAGCTTTAAAAACTCTGGCCCCCAGCTTTGAGTTTCTACAACCAATGGCTAGTCTTACTTATCGTCAGTTCTTATTGAAATATGGATCAGGGTAGGCAACATGCATCTATGTATTTCTGGTTTGACTAAGAAACACTCTTCTGTAAGTGGACACAATAGCTGTTGTGCCCGGGTCCCCTCTGCTGGCAGGCTCACCATCTGCCAATTGCTGCTACAACTCAAGACTCACTCATTCTGTTAGGAATTGCACATGGCCAATGTGGGCTACTTCACCTGAGAGGTTACTCCCCATCCCACTCCTGGGTGACAGAAAGTTTATGTGCCAGAGCTCCCTGCAATCAGGCTAAAGGTAGATGCAGCTGAGACAGTGTCTTGCTCAGCTCCTTTCCCTTCACTCTCCTCCTTTCTTCACCCCATCTTCTGAGTGTGCTTCTTCAACAAATCATGCACATCCAGATCTTTATCTTGGGCTCTGCTTCTAGGGAACCTGACTGAAGACATCTGCTTCTCAGGTTAATGAGCATATGCTGGATGGACTTAGTCTTTTGTGTTCAGTTCTCTTGCCTCAGTCTTAAACTGTAAAGTTCTCTGAATTTACAGCCTTAGGGTAAAGGCTTTCATTTTACTTTTTACTTACTAATGCTGCCCTTATTAAGACTTGGCCTTTGTTCATGAGCTGTAATAGAGACTTTAATTAAGATTGAGAATAAGACCATAGAACACTTAGTTTGGGTAGACAGTTCCCTTGTTGTTGTTTTGAGTTTTCTTTTCGTGGAGAAAAGATGTATCTCCTCCTGACAACATGAAAGTTTCTTCCAGGAAGTGCTTTTAAATATCCAGAATTCTAATACCCATTCTTTCTTCCAATTCCCACTGAAAAACCAGTAGATGAATATCAACTTAAGAAACTAGATTTTAAAAATAACATCCTCAAAAATTTAAAATCTTTGAAAAAGGGATAAACAAATGATAATATTCTTTGAAAAGGATCAAATGGCTCTCAATAGGGACGAGTATCTCTACCCCTGGCTTCCCATATATAATTAAGCACATATGATCTCAGTTGATGAGTCCTGTGTACTCTGTCGTGCAATTCTGTACTTAATTTAAAGATTACAGTGGGTAGATATCCCAAGAGTTTTTGTATCCAATAAGCTCTTGGGTAATGCCAAAGTTGTGGCTTCAAGAATTCTCTATGTAGTGGCCAACAGCAGGACAGGTACTTTCTTGATATGTGAATTCCTGGGCCTTTCTTTAACTCATTCACTTCAAATCATCAGGGTACAGAAAGTTCTGTTACAATTTTCCTTGTCTCCAGTTTCATTATTTTACATGGTCATGTCCCTTACTAGCATTATAACACACAGATAATAGAATGAGTATTCTTCTTGCAACTGTTTACTGAGAATAGCAATGTAAATATGCAAAAAGATTAAAGTAACCAAGTTTGCCTCACCTGGAGAGTCATAAACTGTGTCCAACAGGCCTGAATGCCCTTATTACTGTGGCTCTCGATGGAGCTGCCCATTCCGGTGACCTGGCTGATCTCCTCTACATTGAATTTGGAAAAGGATTTGAGTACAGGACACAGTTCACTATGGGCATGAGGGACCTTGGGATTCAGCTGTCAAAGCAGCTGGTAAGTTATTCAGAAAAGGCTACCAAATTTAAATTGTCAGTTAGCTTGCCTATCTATAGGTTTGGTGTTTGTGAATTTGAACTAATTCTGATCATTTGTAAATGAAGACATGCTTTTCTAAATTAGTGAATGGCCTAAATAAGAAAGTGTTTAATATGCTTCACAAAAAAGAGAGAAGAGGAAAATGAAGGAAAATATTTAAATGGCATAATATTTAAATTATAGTCTATAAACATAAGGGCCAAAAGAAGTTGAGATGTGAGTGTGACCCAGCTGTGCCCTCCCTATGCAGGGTTTCACTTTTCTTGAAGATCTAAGAGCACAGCTCATCTTGCTCAGCTTTTAAAGAGGTGTGTTTCCCTGCACCATGGCCTGTAAGTGAGAGTAAAGTACTTGTGCAGTTCAGCAAGAGAAAAAGCAGTCTGCTCTAATGCTGGAGGAAAGACTAATGAAAATAAACTTCAGATATTGTACTTTGAATGAGTGAGAGATTTTCATGGTTGTCTTCTCACCTTGAGATTCTTGCCATAATTCTATTTTTAGAACTGAATGCCTGTGTAAGTTGGATTTTATTTCTTAGAGAAATAGCCATAATTCAAAGTGGAGTTGAGAAGTGTTCCCAAACTTCACAGCAGTACTTTTACTTTAATGAATGACTAATGCTTTGTTTAAAAACTTTTTTTGGTTGGTAGTGGTACTTGGGATTGAATACAGGCAAATACAAGGCAAATGCTCTATCACTGAGCTGTAATCCTTGCTCTTTTTTTTTTTTTTTTTTTTTTTGTAATGCTGGGGATCGAACTCAGAACCTTAGGTTTGCAAGGCAGGCAGCAGACCCACTGAGCTAAATCCCCAGACCCTCCTAGCTCTTTTTTGAGACAGGGTCTCACTTTGTTGCCTGGGATAGACTGGAACTTGCAATCCTTTTGCCCAGGCCTCCAGAGGAGCTGCTATTATACACATGTACTACCACACTCACCTGTAATTTATTTATAATTTGTAAAATCTTTAATATATCAAGATACTTTCCAAGGAAATGCTAGTTCCTGCTGTTTTCCACCAACAGAATTTTTGTATAACCAATTTATTCAAAGTAGTAATTATGTAAATATAATTCTTGAAAGAATATGGGAATTTGTTGGCATTTCCTATCCTATGTGGTGAGACTGTTTATTTTGTGAAATTTATTTTTTCTATCTAATATTCTTTTGAAATCTTTATTGATAATTGATAGAGGGGAGGAAGTTTTTCTTCAAAACAAGACTGTAAGTTTTAGCAATCATATAAATGCTGTATAAGAAAAAGTTAATTTTAGAAATGGATCAATTTTAATATTAATAGATTTGTTACTGTAGGACCTTGATAATCAAATAAAATTATATTATATAATATGAAATCATAGAATCCAAGTTGTTATTATTTGGTTTTATACACTTCACATTTTATTGCTTTTTCTGAAATTTTCAGGAAAGCAAGAATTTTATAATGTCAAGAAATATAATAGAAAATATTATGTGAAAGAAATATACAATAAAGAATTATTTACAAAAATACTATGCAGTTAAGGGGAAAATTACTAAATGATTATAATAAAAAGATTTTTGTTTTTCATAACACTAAAAATTTAATGAAAAATTTTGCAATACCAAGTTTGATTCTCCCACTAAAGTGAATCTCATCATTTACTGCAAACAGAAATTTCCTAAAATAAATCTGGTGGGCAATGTAATATGTCAGCTATTCAGAAGGTGGCCCAAGGTGAAATTTACTCATGTTCTAAAATATGTGATATAGTTTTGGGGCAGGATATGAAGAGTAATATTCTCTCCATGACCACACTTTCTACACCAAGTGCCTCCAAACTGTTAGCACGTAATGGGTGCTTTTGAAATCCTGTAAAGAATGTCCTGGAAGTGCTACTTTTAGACCATTCCAAGCAGCATTGCAGTGGGCACTGCATGAATCATCCTGCAAACTAAGATTTCACAAAATGGGGAAAGGAGAAAACTGTATATATTATTTTATTGAACAAAGGATTTGGGGCTGTGTGTCATAGTCATTGACACCATCACGGTCAGTGCTAGAGTGGGGCAGTGAGAACAGGGAGCCACACTAGTAGATTGGAATATAATGAGTGGACCATGGTTAAACTTATTTGGAATTCTTCAAATGGTAGGGGATTCAGATTACAGAAGGAAAGATGGAAGCAAAAGAATCTCATGTGCTTGCTCTATAGCATGGTCACTTTAATAGTCAACAGACTTCTGAAATGATGGTAGAAGCCCAGATTATACCATTGAGCACGTGTGTGTGATTTGGGAAGCAATACCAGCAAACAAAACATATCTCTCATATTCTGCCAAGATCAATGTTGCCGAAAGGACCTGCTGCTGTTTGTTCTGCAAATGCATTGGAGGAGATGGAACAATGGGAGATCCTGGGCCACCAGAGAAAAAGGTAACTCTCAATTCAGATGTAGGGATCACTTATGTGAATTTAGAGTATCTTTTGGACATGGGTGTCGACAGAAATAAGGGGTGATTTCAATTTCTAGATAGATCCTCAGCGATAACCATTTATTACAGTCCTTTTTTAGTTTGTCAAATCAAATAGTTGTCAGTTTCCTTTGACATTCTTAATTCGAATGCCTTCAAAAAATTCTTAGAGAAATTTCGGGAGAAATAACTGTCAAAATCTTGATTACTCATGTTCAAGTAGCTATGACATCTATGCAAAAAACTCCGCAGCGTTCCCTTGTGTTGAACAGTGAAAACTTTCATGATGCTGACGGCTCATTTCAGTTCCCATTTTTAATGCTGGCAGAGTCATTAAAATCAAGTAGGTATGTTGTGTAGTCAGCTGAAAAGCCAAATGAGGTCACTCTGCAGTAGCAGCTATTAAGATCTTTGTGTTTCACAGATACATACATAGAAAGACGGGACAATTATTTTAAAAGATAAGCAGCAACATTAATTCATATACTGTTTCCCCCAAAATAAGACCCAGCTGGAAAACAATCAGCCTTGAAAACTAGAGATCAAAAATGCCAGCCTCAATCAGCCTATCCTTGCCTTGTCTGCCATCACTGTTCTCTTGCTCATGAGGCAAGGCAGGGCTGACTAGGGCTGGCAATTTTGATTTCTAGTGTTCAAGGCTGATTATTTTCTCACTGAGTCTTATTTTGGGGGAAAGAGGGTATTTTCTGACCAAAAAGTCTATGTACACTTATATAAAAATATTATTTTTGACGTTAAGAAATGTTCAAATATGTGTAAGCACGATGGGATATGTTTAATAATGATTTTGATACCATTTGTTTACCTATGTGTTTGATTTTTGAATAATATATAGATCATGCTATAACTCTCAAATCCCTAGAACTGTGCCTCTGAAGGAAGCTTTTGAACTAATTATTTCCTGAAAGCTTCAACTTCCTGTAAAGACAATGAGAGAATTCAAAACAAAACAAAAACAGAGGGCTTGGGAAGAATAGAAGGAAATGTGTGTGGTCTATTTTTGTATGTGTGAAATAAATCATAAAAAAGTTTTTTTAATGGAAGAGGATAAGTGTAGTCTTGCAGGAGCAAATATAGTTGATTTGTTTGGATGTTTGTCTGGCATACAGGCATACGTGCACACACGTGCACACACACATGCTCTTGAGTTATGTGGACACTTGCCTCAAAATTCCATTTTTCCTTATGTGTAGATGCAGCCTGGTTCAGAGAGGCAGGACTTTCTTCCCCCAAACCCTTACTTTCCACATGAAGTAAAACTCTAAAGTTGAAGAAGTGTGCTTGGGCACCTCTGGGTTTTTGCTATAGTGTCAATATTTTCTCCTTTTTCTTATTTCCAGGGACCCACAGGTTTTAAGGGCAGTGAAGGCTACCTGGGGGAGGAAGGCATTGCTGTAAGTTAAGGATTTTTCCAGCTCTATTTATTCCTAAAAACATATATACAATATGTAATCCTTTGCTTCATTTCACAGGGAAATAAGAAAGGTCAGATTCTAAAGATTCATTTGCAAAAACCAGGTCTCTCCTGATCCTCCCTGTGCTTTGCTTCTAGTGGCCATTTGTGGTTTATTAACCTACTGTAAAGACCTCACTCATTAACTCATTTGTTCATTCATTTATATATATCAAGTATCTTCTATGCCAGGCACAGTGGTTGGCTCTAGAAATGAGAAAAAATAAAGAAAAATATGTAGTTCCTGGCTTAGAGAACCTCCAGACTAGTGGTGAGACAAACAAGACATGTACAGACCAGGTGGCAGAACAAGAATCTAAGCCCCTCTGGGACAACCATAGTAGAAGTTAGGGCTTGAGAGGAAAAGGCTGTAAACAAAGGGCTATACTCAGGCAGACACTTGAAGGGCAAGTAGGAGTTTCTCCAGCAAAGTGTGTGGGAAAGAGCATCCTTCCACATGAGGGGAAGTGTGTGTAAAGGCACTCAGCACAGTCACAGAATTGCATGTTGCAAAATGGCACATGGCTGGAACTCAGGACTCTGCAGGAGAAGGCATCGCTGGGAATCATGAGTGCCTTGCAGAAGTTTTTCCCTGTGTCCCTAGCTGAAAGTCAGTCACTGAATGATGTTAACCAGGGAGTGAAAGCAGAGGGGATGATCTGAAAGGATGCTCAGGCAATGTCATGGATGCTGAAGAGGCTACAGGTAGAAGTCTTATAGTCATAGGTACAAGGCAACAAGTTCCTGATTTTGGTTTGGGATGGTATGAATAGATATATTGAAGAGGTTGAAAAGACATAATTTGGTGACCACTGGGGAGAAAGAAGCCCACACAAGTAATATGCAGGTGGGATCCAAAGCAAAGGGTTGGCATCAGAATAGCTCTGATTGACTGCCACTGTTTTTAAGCATAAATTCTGAATTACAAGCCATAAACAGTCACACACTTTTTCCCCCACAACAAAAACAAAAAACATGACAGATGTCTAACATACAATCCAGATTGTAGTAGAAACAGCTCATCTAGCAATATGTTCTTTCTTAGGGTGAACGAGGAGCCCCTGGACCAGTGGGAGAGCAAGGTACTAAGGGATGCTATGGTACCAAAGGTCCCAAGGTGAGAACTGCATAAGACATTGTGACAGTTTCTCAATACTTAATCCCATTTTTCTATATTAATTATCACTGTCCTTTCTGTTTTCAGGGAAACAGGGGACTAAATGGAGAAGAGGTATGGCACCAGGCCCATCCATTTATTTGCTCATCTGTTATCCAGAAATATTTTTATTTTTGAGATTATTCGTAGAGTTTACAACTAAAGCTTCTGTAGACTTTCATTTTCTTTTTCTTTTTTTTTGTAATTT